AATACAGAAATATATAATTAAAATATTGCTTTTATATTTTGTGTGTTATAATATTTTTAAACAATAGTTTTTTTAATAGTCCCCACCCAGCTGTTCTTGAAACAGTGTAATCCTGCTTTTAAAAAGCCTTGTCCAATATCTGTCATGTAAGAAAATATGAATAAGGAACAAAAAGTAGTACTATCTACATTTGGAAGTATTATCCCAGCTTTTAATTTGATTATTGTTTTAATGATAGTGAGTATTTAGAAACCAGGTTTTGATTTTCTAAGCTTAATTCTTAGTACTATAGGAATTTTAGAAAGGATGATTTTTTTTAAAAAGCCTGCCTCTTAGCAGCAACTATATTATAACTTATTCTTAGATAATCAGTTATAAATGACAGATGAGAATGTGATACAGAATGAATACTTCTTAAACACCAAAATAATTGTTTTTTCTCTGCTTCAGTCCTGATGGTCAGCCAACACTGCTTCCCCCAGAACATGTACAGGAGTTAAATTTGAGGTCTACTGGCATGCTCAATGCTATCCAAAGATTTTTTGCATATCATATGATTGAGACCTATGGATGTGACTATTCCACAAGTGGACTGTCATTTGATACACTGCATTCCAAACTGAAAGCTTTCCTCGAACTTCGGACTGTGGATGGACCCAGACATGATACGTATATTTTGTATTACAGTGGGCACACCCATGGTACAGGAGAGTGGGCTCTAGCAGGTAAACTCACCTTTGGCAGTTTCACTATTGTAAAGATACACATGTATATGTAGAAATCTGTACTTCACACACAGTCATTAAATTTCCAGGATTCTTAGTTTACTGAACTGTACATATGACTCTAATTTGTTTTTCTTTGCTCTAGCATCCCTGTTTAGCCATCTCTAATGATAAGATTCAGAAATATGTCTTGTAGTGATTAGAAGGAAAAAATGCTTTGAGACTTATAGTTTCCCTGAAAATATTTTCAGAATTGCTAAATATATTTTTCAGAAGCTGATAAACTTCGTTGACTAGTATTTTTAAGTTTTGAAATGTTATGGATGCAGATTTCAGTAGTCCTTCACATCTGTAGTTTTATTTATGTTTATAAAGCTCACCAAAATTTTAAACAGCAGATCATGTAGTATGGTGGGAGTAGCATTTAGGTCAGGAGACCTTGGTCCTGGTCCTAATTTGCCACAACTGTGTTATTTTAGGCAAGTTAGTTAACTTCTGTTGGCTTCAGTTTTCTCGCCTGTAAAATAAGGCGGTAATTTTAAATGATCATTGAATTTTATTCTAAGGTACAAAATTCTGTAGGGATTGTTTTGCATTTGAAAAATCATAAAATAACTTTGGTTTACATGCATTATGGGAAATAGAAAACTTCTTAGTTATTGCCAAGAGAGAAATGAGATCTCTTTATATAATATATAAATTTGTCAGGCTTTCCAACTATTAATAGAGAGTAAGTCAAGGGCTTTGTTTTGTGAATTGTTACTTGCTTAGGACCTATAACAGAGCCCAATACATAGTAGAGGATCCTTAAGTAGCTAATAGATGAAATCATTGAATAAATCATTAAAAAAGAAAGGTAATTTTCTTATTTTAGATTAGAAATAGTTATTTTAATTACATGATTTTTTTCCATAAAAGAGTGTAGATGTTTTAAACCAAGAATAGATAAATAATAAAATAGTCATGAATAAATTGGAAACATTCAGGATGAAGAAAAAGATAAATAGAAGTAGTATGGAAGGACAGAGGCAGAGTTGCCAATATAAGAACTCCAGAAAGAAACAAACAAAGCGTTAAGGTAGAGATGATTTTAAACCAGTGCGATCTCACTAATTTCATGCCAGATTTGTAACTGGAGTTTTTTATCATAAAGAGAAATATTTTTTTGAAATTTTTCTTTTTTGCAAATAAATATTGAATAACTCAGTGGCCTTCTAGTAGAAAGACGAGCTAATATTTATTGGGCACATTTTAAGCATCAGCTTACTGTACTTAGTACCTTACACACATTGTTAATCATTATGTGAAATCCTTTGAGATGGATACCACCACTTGTTATCTTCATTTTTGAAAGGATGAAATGGAAATTGTAAGTTGTTATGCAACTTATGATTTAAGACCAGATCTGCCCGGTTCCTAAAGTGTATTTTCCCCGCCACTGTACCATGTTGCCTCCAAGGGTGAAAGCCGTGATGATAAAAAAATGGCATGTTCTGGTTAAATGGATATTTTTGTTAGCATGGGTTACCCATTTCAAAAAATTAGAATGTACAAGACTAAAAGATGTACTGAACATTAAAACTACTTGAATATAGTTTATAAAATCATTTACTTGACCTATAACTTTTTAATTACAAGGTAGAAAACATCTTTTTAACCTTTATGGCTACTTTAGTTTCAGGTAAAGTATAACATTCTGTGTATTCCAACTCAGAGCACAAGAGAAAGCTTTAGTCAATTAAAATAGTCTTTACAGAAATAGAATTTTAGATCTAAAAGTAGGGATTACTGAAAACTTACTATAATCCTTATGATAATAAACTCTACCCAGATCAAATGGAAAAAACAGGGCTAATTTTTGGTGGCCATGCATATATCCCTAGTTATTTTAAAGTGTTATAAGAGAGTAATTTTAGAAGTAAGTTTTTTGTGTGTGTTGATATGAAAGATTTATTACTTAATGGAAACACTTTTCAAAAAGTTTGCAGTTTTCTTAAGTAATTTAAAATTCATTAAGTATTTCTTAAAGATAGCTATGGAAATCAATTCTAGATGTTCATTTACTAATTCTTATATCAGCGTTTTATTTTTCTAAGAAAATAAAAAAAACACTAAGATACACACATATATATGTATCAGGTTTTCAAAATTTTCATTCATCATTAAGTTAGGAATAATTTTTGAAAACTTTAAGAACTCTAAAATAGAGTCGTATTTTAGGTAAATGTTTAGCAGTTACATTCTAGAATGATGTCTTTATAATTTTTTTTGAAGTATGTTACCAGTAAATTGACCATTACAGAATTCATCTGTTAGCTAAGATTTGTTCTTGTGTAACTTTGAGAGCTTATTATAAGAAGTTTAAAAAAATAGAGAGAGAAAGCATACTGATCTCCCTTCCCTGAGAAAGGTAGATTTTATCTTATAATTCAGCAACTGCATACTGTCAAGCATGGCCTGAGGCATCTGGCATACAGAAAAGCCTGCTTTTCGGTTAGTTCATGCCCTGACCTGCTTTAGACATAACCCTCAAGGGCTGATTCTGCCTCACAAATAATATTGAATATCTCTGCTCTGAGGAAAATGCTTTAATCTATTCCAAATTACATGACAAAGAGCTTTAAGCTCTGCTAATTTATTAACAGTTGGGTTTTTGTTGTTGTTGTTGTTGTTGTTTTTTCAGCCGACTTTGAAATAGGAAACATCACAACTGGATTTTAGTTGGGTTAGCAAATTAGTAGCAGACCCAGTATTAATATCACTGTGGGAAAGAGAATCTATATTTGCCGTTTATCCCATACGTACTTAGAATATGTAGTCTTCTTATATTTATGGAGTTTCATGATATGGAACCTAATATTTTTGCCTCTGCTTGAGGATAGAAAACAATCATGGTAATTACAAGAGAGACAGAAATAAATGGGAAAAATGTACATAATTTATAAAGTAGTTTATTACAAATAAAGCCTTTAAAAAGCAGTCTCAATTACTTGAAATGCATCAGATGGCTGTTATCTTAGATAGATGTAAGTACTTTGAATCTGGGCCAAAAGCCAAATGTAGCATAGAACCTATTCATAGGAGAAAGCAGAGCAAAAGAAGAGAAATCGTTTAGAAAGCTTTAATGCTGCTTTAAGTCTCTTGTTGATATCTAAAGAGCATTTATATAAGAGAATTAGGGTAGAATATGCTAAAGAGTATTTATTGAAATAGTTGTGGATGGCATGTTGGGCAATGATGTTTTGTGGCAGATGGAATTTATATAATAGTTCTTGTAATCTGTGTCATCCTCTGATCTCTAGAGAAATTTAATAGAGCTGGCAATAATGGAGAGTTAACGTTTGGCCATTTTTGAAAAAGTATCTTTTGGAGGTATCAGTGGAATAACACATTAGTAATATGTGGAGACCATGTACTGAAATACTCTCTCTGAGATAATATGTGTGAGTGTTAGAGCGATTAATAAAACAAGTTTATTTTCATGTTCTTAAGCTATTGTGGGCTGATTAACAAAACATTAATCAATTACACATAAAGAATATGATAGAATCCCAATTCTAAAGGATTCTCTCTCTGGTGGTGTCCATTTTTAATGGTGAAACCAAGAGGACAGCTGATTTGGGGGAAATATGTATTCTGGAGTTAGGTTGTTGGATCTTGTGCTGACAGATTATAAAAGTAACTTATGCTCAATGTAAAAATTACAGAAAAGTATTTTAAAAACCACCTGGAAGTGAAACACCTAGCAATAGCTGCTGTTGTAATTTTTGTAGATGCCTTGTCATGCTTTTTCTAATACATTTGCTCATCAATAAATTTTCTTTATAAATATTTTGTTATAAGATTTCCTCCTAAGGTTTTAGGACATAGTTTATTTCCATTTCCCAAATGGGAAAGAAGTCTTTTTTGCAATTTTTTGTCCCTATGTCTGTTCTTTTCTTAGGATAGATTCGTAGAATTGGAATGATCATTATCAGTGTACCATTGAGGCAGGGCCAAATGAGGTGAGGGTGGCAGTTGCCTCAGGCACAAAACATAAGGGAATGCCAAAAAACTCAATAATCAAAATGAACATTTTAATGTAGTACACTTAAAAATCAAAATTAATGCAAAAAAGATCCACGATGAACTAGATGTAAAACCTGTAGTCAGAAGTTTATTTACTTTAGAACTTTCTGGGTATATATTTTTTTAATCCCTTGTTCTTCAGCCATAAAACTGATTTAAATGTAAATCTGTTCTTAAATTCATTCTTGTACAGGTAGGAATAGGGTTTATTTTCATTCAGTAGGTACTTACATATGAGGAAGAGAAGGAAACAATGATACAGAATGGGGGCCAAACTTTTTCTGTAAAGGGCCAGATATTTTTGGCTATGTGGGTTTAGATGCCTGTTGCAGCTATTCAGCTCTGCTGCTTTAGAGCAATGGCAGCCATAGACAGTGTAAATGAATGAATGTAGTTGTGTTCCAATAAACTGTTATTTATGAAAATAATTATATGAAACTTAAATTGCATACAATTTTTACTGTCACAAAATATTCTGATTTTCTTTCAACCATGTAAAAATATAAAATCAGCTCTTAGCTTTCAGGCCATACAGAAAGAGGTGGCAGGCTGGATCTGGCCCATGGGTTGTAGTTGCTGCCCCTGGTATAGAATGTTAGCTTTTCTGTATAGTTGTTTTCACTAAATACAAAGTATTTTCTTAATTTATACTAGCAGATTCCTTTTTATGTGATTAATAAGGATTTTTTTTTTACCTGAAGTTGAAAATCTGTTGTAAAAAATATCTTTTCAAAAGATACTTTGAAAGTGTAATTTAAATACTTTATTTTTTGCTTATTTAATTCTAAGAACTTAAGGAAAATACATGTAAGATGAGTATGTTCCCACTAGGAGAAAATTATTAAGAGAGTTTTCTTAATGAGAGGCTGCAGAAATTATTGCTGCATTGAATTTTCTCTTGTTCACAGGTGGAGATACACTACGCCTTGACACACTTTTAGAATGGTGGAGAGAAAAGAACGGTTCCTTCTGTTCCCGGCTTATTATCGTATTAGACAGCGAAAATTCAACCCCTTGGGTGAAAGAAGTGAGGAAAATTAATGACCAGTATATTGCAGTGCAAGGAGCAGAGTTGGTAAAAACAGTAGATATTGAAGAAGCTGACCCGCCACAGCTAGGTGACTTTACAAAAGACTGGGTAGAATATAACTGCAACTCCAGTAATAACATCTGTTGGACTGAAAAGGGACGCACAGTGAAAGCAGTATACGGTGTGTCAAAACGGTGGAGTGACTACACTCTGCATTTGCCAACGGGAAGCGATGTGGCCAAGCACTGGATGTTACACTTTCCTCGTATTACATATCCCCTAGTGCATTTGGCAAATTGGTTATGCGGTCTGAACCTTTTTTGGATCTGCAAAACTTGTTTTAGGTGCTTGAAAAGATTAAAAATGAGTTGGTTTCTTCCTACTGTGCTGGACACAGGACAAGGCTTCAAACTTGTCAAATCTTAATTTGGACCCCAAAGCGGAATATTAATAAGCACTCATACTACCAATTATCACTAACTTGCCATTTTTTGTATGCTGTATTTTTATTTGTGGAAAATACCTTGCTACTTCTGTAGCTGCTCTCACTTTGTCTTTTCTTAAGTAATTATGGTATATGTAAGGTGTTGGGAAAAAACATTTTATAATGAAAGTATGTAGGGAGTCAAATGCTGACTGTAAATGCATAAGAGATGTTAAAAATAACACTGCACTTTCAGGAGTGTTTGCTTATGGTCCTGATTAGTAAGAAAACAGTTGTCTATGCTCTGCAATGGCCAATGATGAATTACTAATGCCTTATTTTCTAGGCATATAATAGTTTAGAGAATGTAGACCAGATAAATTTGTTTACTATTTTAAGAAAACTACCAGTTTACTTACAGAAGATTCTTTTTTCCAAACAGTAGGTTTCATCTAAGACCATTTGAAGAACTGCAAACTCTTTCTCTTAGAAAACAAAGAGGGCTGCCTAAAATAAACACAAAATTTGCTTCTACTCCATCACATTCAGATGTCTTGGTTGTGACCTATTACCAGTGTAGCAGAGAACCCAAGTTACATTTTAGATCAAAACATTGTTTATGTAGGTATTGTTAAAAGGCTAGCGCCTACAAATTGCCCTTTCATGCTTTGGTCAGGGGGCCCTGAAAACACTGGTAATATTAAGAGTCTTTCTCAGGGTAACTTAATGTTTTCTTAATGAACAATGTTTCCAGCTACAAATTCTTCCAATAAACTGTCTTCCTTTTTGAAAAGTACTCTCATAGAAGAAATTTAGCAATTTCTCATTTACTGACTCAATCTGTTTTAAGTATTCAGAAAAGATTTTGATCCCTATTGAGTTAATTCTCTGCCATGAAAATTATTTTTCTGATCCTTGTTAGTGATAACCTTTTTTTTCTACTGAAGGTCAAAGGCTAGGAAACAAGTCATTTCTTGTATACATGTAATGTATTATGTAAAAAAGTATTCATATTGGCAATTTTAGTTAGGCATAATAGTGTGGTTGTAATTTTTAAAACTTAGTGTTTGTCTGATTAAAGCAGGCACTGATCAGGGTATCTCCTAAGAGGTAATTCACTTCTAATTCCTTTCCAATAATTATTACATTCTAAATTTTCATCTATGAGAAGTAACAAGAAGGGAATAGAATTAAATTGGAGAATAATCTAATCTTCATTGTTTAAATGGTTTGACTTCTCACCATTGAAGCCATTTTTTCTAGCCTCAGAAAGAGGAAATAATGCCTCCACCATTTTCTACCTGGTGACTTGAAAATTGAACTTTTCAGTTAGGAAGAAGAGTCGGGGAACTTGTATACCACTATCTATGCAGCATTGTTATAGTCTGATTATTTCTGTGTTTTGAGTATGATTTTCCTAATGCTCTAAATAAAATTTTGTTAAAAATTAATTTTTCATTTAATGTGCAAATATTGAATAGTATATTAAAAGTGGTAGTCATTAAAAATGCCCAGGTTTTAGAGTTCACGTTTGAAAGTTTCCAATATAGGTTAAGGATTTGTATTAGCACTGTCCAAACAGTATAGTTTTTTTTATTGTTCTGTTCAGCAGTAGTGTAGTAGAAAAGCCAAATGTTAAAATTGTGAGCTTTTAGCTTTTTTTGTTAATGGTAAGTAAAATCTCCTTTTAGATTTCTCAGCTCTTTGTGAGCAAGTTAGCTTTAACTAAAGCATTATCTCTTCACTGTAACAAAGTCAAATACAAAAGTATATTCTGCATTCTTTATAAGGTAGTATTAAGGTGGTACTAAAAATTACATTCTAAAAACAGCTGACAGTTTGACAGCCACAAACCTAACTTTTTGATATGTATTTTCTGTGAAAGTAAAACCAAAAATGGTCTTTGGGCCAAGAATGTGACTTGAACCAATTCGTTAACCAAAAATTTATAGAATATCCACTTTGATGAATTCTCCTACCCAAACAAACAAAAAACTATAAATGACTTTTTGGGATGGTACCACAAAGCTGACATTTTAAAAACAATAACGAAGGGTGTAGAAAACAAATATTACAAGAAGGATAAAGTGATTGGTTACTTTCACCTAAAGATTAAAAAATAGATCTGACAATTAATGAGACTAATTTGTCCATGGCTGTCAAGTTTAAGAAAGAGTTGCTTGGAGTGAAAGGAATTCTTTTAGGGTGAAATTTTACCATTCTATTAAAAAGAAAGAGGTAACTTGGAGATATTTTTCAACATAATTTTAATATTTGTTTCCTCGTGTGATACCTTGCTAAAACCACAAAACCACTAGCCTCTAAAAACATCTTTTAAAATTGTGTACACACTGTTGCAAAATAAATAAGGAGCTAAGTTCTTTCTCTCCCCATGACTTTTCAGTTATACTGTCATTTTATTCAAAAATGTTTAGTTTGCTCCTACCTAAACTCTTCCCTAGACTACTTGGGGTTATATTTCCATAGAATTCGATCTTGCTCTTAATAAATTCAAAATTCTTTGGAAAAGATGCATTTCAGAAGATTATTCTTATGACCAGTTATGCTTTAAAAAATTACATTCTTAATTAAAATGCACTTATATTTAATGCATTAGTGGGTAGATTTTCGTTGTGAGTAAAATGTTCATTAGAATCTATTTGTAACTGGATATTTTGTAATTTTGGACTTAACATATTTACTCTTGGGTACTGCTTTTTTATATGTATTCAGATTTATAGCTTAGTCTCTTTTAAAGTAATACTCTACATTACTTTCCCACAAGTGATGATAGTTTTAATATAATGTTAATGCCAGAAGAAAATGATTTAATTTTAAGAATGTGATTAGATGTATTTGACAGTAAATGCTCAAAGGAGTTAGATCTGTCAGTACTTTTGAATGTCTCCTGTATTGGAAACTATTAGACTGTCACCTCTTTTTAGGCAAAGGCTTACACGTGTTGGTATTTCTGGTACACAGTTACCGAGAAGAGTGCCTTGTCCATAATGAGAAGCATTTAATAAATATTTTGGGCTGAGTGAATAAATTTAGAATCCTAAGGAGAAATTGGAATAACTTGATTGTAAATTACTACATTTTCTTTAGTTTTACATAAATGGATATTATTTCAAGATCTTCATTAAGCAAGTAATTTAGTAAAAACTTACAGAATCCGTAAAAGGAAAGCAAATCTCAAATTTGTAGTTAATAAGTGTTAAGATTAGGGAAGGAAAAACTGTTTCAGAACTGGTTTGAATGAAAACATAGCTGATGTTGCCAAAAAAATGGCTTTTTGTGGGTTTAGTCCATTTCCATCATGACTCTAATATCATTAAGATTGAATCATTCATTTCCTCACTATTATATCTAGACAGATTGAAATTTATCACAAATGGAAATTATTAAAAGAAAAAGTCTGACTGATGAACAAAGAAGGAATTTGGCTATGCATATCAGTGACAACTAAATTGTAAGGTCAGTAAAACAGGCCTATAAACGTAAGCAAGGTAAGGACAAGCTAGGGAAACTACAAGTATCTCCTTTTTTATATTGTCTTAACCTGTTCACTAATTACAACACATAGAAACAATATAAAACAATGAAGTTTAAGCAGTAATTGTTTTGAGAAACCATTCTGTCGATAATTTACATTTATGTTTATTAGGAAATACTGTTTTTATTACTTAGACCGAAGTTGATTTAAAATTGAAAACTGTGGGCTACCGTAAGGTTTTTTGTTTTGAAATATTCAATACCTAAAAGCCATTCTGATTTTTAAAATTGAAGTTGACTAGTCATCTTGTATAATGACCTCATATTTTATAAGTTTGAACTTAAAATAGTTAGAAGTAGACAATTTTAGTAAGCTTTTGTTTTTATTTGGTCTAGCCTAAAAGACATTGATTTATCTCAAAGATTTTTAGCAACATGCAAGGGATAAATGAGTACGGCATAGACAAGCAGTGTTCACTCAATGCCAAGTAAACTTTTCTAAGTTTAAAAATATTTTTATGTTAAAACATACCAATGTATTGATAAACAAAATTTGCATTAATTTTTAATATAAACTATAGACTTCAAAGCAATTTTAATCTTGCAATGGGTCATTTGATTCATCCTCCTCATCCCCAAACACTTTGGACCTAATACTGCATGTTAATGACACTCTAAAAAGTTTTTTTTTTAAAAAACACCTTTTTCTTTTGACTTGGAATACAAATAGCACAATTAATTTTCACTAAACAAATACTTTTGTTTATACATAGAATTTCAGATAGATGCCATTTTAATGGGATTTTATAATATTTCTAGATTCTTCAAAGTCCTTATACACAATTTGTTCTACACACTTGGGTATTGGTAAGGAAAATACAGGATATGGATTTTAATTTGTAATCCACATCCATGTGTATTGATACACGTTCTCTCCTATTTCTCTCCTACCTAATTAGAAGAGGTATTTTTTACAACACCTAACCTTTGGATTTCTCTCTTCCCTTCCTCATGAAACAACTTGAAATGACAATAGCTATTACTTATTGTTCGCTAGGTTCTAGCACTGTGGTAAGCACTTCTGTATATTGATTTCGTTGAATCCTCCCACCCACCTTTTGTGGTAGATATACTTTTATGAATGAGGAAACTGAGGCATAACTTTACCAGAATGACAAAGCTATGTCTAAGAAATTGGATATCAAACTCAGCTTTAACCCTGAACTCCTTAAAAAAAAAAAAAACTGCTTTGTAATCCTATCAATTTGGTATCTTCAGGGTCTCTACTGGCACTTTTCCATCAGAATACAGTATGAACATTCTCAAGGCCTTTTAGTAGTAAAGAAATCCTCCCACAATTTTATATCAGATCTTTATTTTTTGCTTACAGCGAGGTTATTTGAAAGTGAGTATTCTGTACTCAGTCTCCAATTTCTCAGCTTCCATTTTATCTTGTATCCATAGCAGTCTGGTTCCACTCGGCACTCCCCTGACAGTGTTCTTACCAAATCACCAGTGACCTCCATATTGCCAAATAAAGAGACATCTGATCTCTAGAGCATTTATTAACTACTTCCTTTATTTTCTTTTTTGTTTGTTTGTTTTGGCTTCTGTAAATACTATTCTTGATTTTTTCTGCTGTTTTTCTGGACATTCCTTAGTGTGTTTTGCCAGCCCTTCTTTCTCTACCCTATATTTTGGGTTTTCTCATATTCCTTCTCTGCTCATTCCATCACCTGCTTAATTAATCTCATTCACACCTGGGATTTCAGCTATAACACGTTCCACTGATTACTCTCAAACATCTGTCTCCAACATAGACATCTCTGGCACTCCAGGTACATGTATTCAGTCATGTACTAAACATCTCATTTCACAGGTTCCTCAAACTCAAATTCAAATCAGGTAGAACCTCATCCAAATTTCTTAGTTGCCTCTATTCATGTACATGTGGATGGTACCATTCATGCTTTATTACTCAAACAAAAATTTGGGCTTTATCCTTGACTCTCCCTCTTCCTCGTTACCCACATCCCATTAGTCTCCAAGTCCTACTCCACCTCCTACCTAGTATTTTATATAACCATCCCCTCATCTCCATTTCTACTGCCTTTACCCTATAAAGGCCTTCACCATTTTTCCCACTAGTTATTGTTATAGCTTGTTAACTGTTTTTATTCTCCTGTCTCAAGTCTCATTTTGCTCCAATATAACTTCCATAGTTTTGCCAAAACAACCTGTCTATACTCCCTATAACTTTCACCATAAAGGATACATTCCTTGTGTTAGCATATCAGGCCTGCCTTGTGATTAACTGTTCATCATCTCAGTCACCTTCCTGTCATTTAGAACTGTTTGTAAATCTCTGAAAATGTTATGTGTTTTTTTTTAAAAACCTGTTCCACGTGGGTTCAAAATACATGCTGGTCTCAAAACATGTTAGTCACAAGTGAAGCAAGGCTCAGCAGGGAGAATAGATCGTGCTGGTGGCATAAATCTGGCATGAAAAATGTTTTCCCTTGTTATTTATGAGTCAGGTTTGCATCCAGGAGAGATACTCGAGAGTAGAGAATCATGGACAGTGACTAATGAATATAACAGCTTAACTGACTTTTTATGTCATTGGTCCCCACCACAACATGTTGGAGATGGGAGGATCATGGCAGGTAGAGGGGAGAGCCTTACAGCTGGTAAGGAGGTACGTCTAGATTGCAAGGCGTGGTCCACATAACTATGTAGCATCACTAAGTCTCTCTTCAATCCAAAGGCAGGAGCTTGCTTGCCACTCTAGTTTTGCCAAAACATAGGAAAATGCTTATTACCCAGGCAGTGCAAAATAGAATCGGAGCTGTGAAGTCCAGGGGTGAAGTAAGCAGCCCCCTTGCAAACCATGCACCATTTTGTTTTGTGATTTTTCTTTTTTTGACCCATTGTAGGTAGTGCTGTTTCAGCACAG